GGAGTCAACTTCATGTATGGTGTTGTGTGTGTGTTTGAGCCCTGGAGATAGGCACTTTCCGAAAACCTGACTGGGGAAGGGCATCTTGCCCGTGTACAGACTGACTTGGCATCCTCTCACCTTTGCTTGAACACACTGCTTACTGTTAACCCAGTGGAGCAGTGAGCTTGCCTACCAGATGGCTCTTAGTTGGCAGAACTAGGCAGTCCACAGAGTATGTGGGAGGACATGCTGGATCCCGGGCTATTCCTCTAGTCTCAGACCTGGCCTTGGGTTCACGCAGCTGTGGACAGACGGGGTATCCGAGCTGAGTTTCCTAGCCAGCCTGCCTCTTCCGTATGTATTTCTGGTTTTCTTTAAAAGTTCCCACTACTCAGGCCTTCAGTGGGCACTGAGACAGAAATAAACCCCACAAGGCATCCCAGCCAGAAGCTGGGAATCCGATTCTCCCTCAAAGGGCGGAAGAGGCCCCTGTGCAGAGTATGCCAGACCACAGTGGCCCACACACTCCACATGGCCATGAATATGCCCCCCCTCCATGCACACACACACATGCATAGCCTTACATACATTTCCCACACACACTGGCGTCATACATGTACATATATAAGCCTTCATGCACATGCAAGCATTCAGGTTTGCCTCACATAGAAGGACCCATACTTTTTGTAGGTTTGTCGTATGCACACATACACTCAGGCACACACTTCCTAAAAGCCTAACATCTAGTAGTGACCACACACTCTGGGTCCCAAACCCAGCCATTTTCAAGGTAATGATGGGCAAGAGAAGCAAGGCTGAAGAGGCTGAAGGAGGAGGCTGGCCCAATGCAGCTTAGGAGGAGAGTGGCCTCATGGGAATCCTGGTCTAGGTCTGCCAGGGCTTCTGAATTTTTAAGAGAAGCTGGAAAGCTGAATTTTTATGTGAAATACCCTGATTTTTAAATGTTGGCTCAAGATGTTGAAAATACTGGGAGAGCCAAACCAAACATGTCTAAGAGCCAAATTCCACCCACAGGCGGCATTCGCAGACCACGGGTGTACACACAAACACACACACACACACAAAGATCACACGTACACAGACATGCATACAAACAAAAAGTCACTGGTACAGTCTCCTAGATGCTCCAGAAGACACAGACATGTACAAAGACACACAGAAACATGATATAAATATACACTGGCACACATTCAAACACAGAGGTATACGTGCCAATAGAACCACAAGCAGACACAAGTACAAATAAATACACAAGTTCGCGCAGACCTACAAATATACATAGAGATCCATGCACAATGCAGCCTTCTATCATAGTGGTCTTGCTGTGGCACACAGTGTGGCATCATGGCCTTTGGACAAAAACTACTGTGTGGTCCACACCATTACCCTTTAACTCAAATGCTGAAGAGTCTGGGTCAGGTTGACTTGGATGAACAAGTGCTTCATATGACTGGCAGAGGTGTACTGGCAAAGGCCTCCTCCGTCTGGCCTTTACAGGAAGTGATTGGATCCACAGACATTGATGAAGGGGTGGGTCTAGGCTGGCCGAGAACCTATCCTCCAGCCTGGCCTTAATGCTTCCCCTGCCTACATGACAGTGAAGTTGAAACAGGAAGCTGTGAATGATTCCCCCTTGCATCCTGAAAGGTTGCCTGTTTGCCCATGGCAGGAAGATGAGAACCCTGTCCAGGTAGCTGAAAGTTAGCCTGGGGACAGACTTTCCTGGGGTCAGGAGAACTGAGCAGGGCCTGACCTCCAAGGAGCCGAGGCTCACAAAGGGTAGTAGGTGGCCCAGGGTAACACAGTATGCACACAGCCAGCCAGGGCCCAGGCCCCTGCTGGACTCCATAGCCCCTTTTCCCCTCTGCCTCTCTTGGCCAGTGGGACCAGCCCCACCAAACCAAGGGTTATTTAGGTTTACTGGGGTAGCTTCAGGCTGGGATCGTTCTGTGGTTGCCGAGAAGGCATCAAGGACCAGGAGAGAGCAGGACCCAACCTGGTTGTGCTGAAGTCACACCGCAAGCCCCATATCCCTGTTCCCCAGAGCCAGTGATCTCTCAGGATCCTGGGTCAGGACTGTCGCTTCCCAGATAGTCAGCAGGACTGAGTTCCCTCAGACCCTGGACAGGGTCAATCCCTCTTGAACCTCCAGAGAACTCAGCACCCTCCCCTGGTCTATCCCTCTGTCACCTCCTGGGGGTGAGGACTGGAAACTGGACTACTACGGCCTGCCCACTGCAGCCTGCAGGCCAAGGGTGCGCAGCAATAGAATTTGTAGTCCCATGATTCCATTCTGAACTTCCCTCAGAGTGGACCTAACTCCTTTTTGTTGTTGTTTTGTTTTTCGAGACCAGGTTTCTCTGTAGCTTTGGAGCCTGTCCTGAAGTTAGCTCTTATAGCCTTGAACTCACAGAGATCCGCCTGCCTTTGTCTCCCGTGGGCTGGAATTAAAGGCATGCGCCACCACTGCCCTGTAATTGCTCAGGATCTTAGCAATGCTCTCCTAGCTGGTGCTGAGGAGATGGGACCCACAGAGAGGTAGAACCTCTTGGCAGGCTCCAGGCAGGTGAGAGTTGGACCTGGCCCCCACGCTGACCAGGTCTGGAGTCCAGTGGATTCTGTGAGGTACCTGGATAACAGACTATGGAAGCAGTGGACAGGGGTCTCCTGATGCCCTCCTCCTTGTCTACTCACTGACTAGCCCTGGTTCTGTTTATGTGTTCCTTGTGGCTTGGCTGGGCTGCGGGGCCTTGCAGGGAGAAATAACCACCTGGCTCCAGTGGCTGTTCAAGACAAACAGGGCCCTGACCATCTGCCAGGCCCACTGAGGGCTCCCACGTCTGCCAACACCTGGACAGTCCAGGTGGGACTTGGGGGCCTCTGAGTGAGGGCCAGCCTAGGGCCAGAGGTTCCCAGTCCAGAGTCAGAGAACTGGTCTTAGGCTGATGTGCGGGGGCCAGTTCTGTCCTAGACATCCAGCCGGGGTAAGTGCTACTCAGCCTAAGGGTAAAGCAGCCATTCCTGTCCTGGGTACAAATATCCTGAGGAGGAGACCAGGTTCTGCTGAAGAGGTGTCAGCTGAATGTGGGCGGTCTGGTGTGACCTGGGTGCATAACGCAAGATGGAATCTTAGGGCATCCAACCCCTTTATAAAGGAAAACGGCAGCCCTATCTTGGGGACCCAAATGAAGATAACCAAGTGGGGAAGGTAACAGCTTGGCCAGGGGGTGCTACCCGGATGTTTTCAGGTAACTGGGCCCAATGGCCTTCTGACAGTGGCCCAATATCCAGATGGCGTCTAGACTCGGTAGACAGAGTAAGTAGCCTTGAAGGCTCTCAGTCTGGAAGTCCTGGAACTCGGAGCTGAGACGACAGGCTAGTGTGGACCCTGTACAGAGGTGACACAAACCCCAGCAAGGGGAATGAGGTCTTGTCCTGCTGAGGACTCCTTCCCCAGCCAGTGCGTCATCCAGGGTCTCTGGTGGTGCTATCACTATCTTCTGACCTGCTCTCCTGCCTCCTCAGACCTTAGGTTCTCCTAGAATGTCAAGTGACTCCAACTCAGCCTGGCTCAGCAGCCCTTGCGGACCCGGCCTGTGCGTCACCATCCACATTATACCATGCTCCTCTAGAAGCCTTGGATGGTCATGTGACCTGCTGGCCATCAAGAACGGCAGATGGGCTTAGCCTAGGAATGCTCAGTTAAATGCCCACACCGCCCAGTGCTTGAGTTGGCCTGGGGCAGACGGGGGGGGGGGGGGGGGG